TTCTCCTGCCCGTTGCTCTCTTCAGATTAACGGAGAGGCAGTGAAGCAGGTGGAGAAGTTCAAGTACCTCTGAATTGTATTTACTAGTGATGGAAAACTGGAGGAAAAGATCGACCGGCGAATTTCAGTAGCCAGTGGCGTTCTGCGTGAACTAGCCTGATTCACTGTGACTGAAGCGGAGCCCAGTCTGAAAACTAAGCTCTCGGTATTCAAGTCGATTTTAATCTCCATGCGTACCCACGGTCATGAGTCCCGACCAAGACTGAAAAGCTTCGAACCCAGATACCTGCTGCTGAAATGGGCTTTCTGAGACGAGATCTTTGATGTGAAGCCACTGCTTCACAGATTGAGGAGTCACGTTGCGATGTTTTGGACACATGTTTCGAATGGCTCCAGAGTGGAAAGAGAAAGGACTACAACCGGCAGGAGACCACGAAGGAAGCAGTCCATTCTAGACTTTGTTAATATTCTGCCGAAACTCAGAAGATCATAAACGTGGAAACACTGTCTGGCAATTCTCTCCGCGACCCGCAGGGAGAGGCAGTCATGACAATGAATGAACACTAAGTACGCAACACAGCGTGTGCATAACAGTCGAGGAAGGACTTTGTTATCATCACTCTCTCTAATGCTACGTTCCAAGCATTAATGACATACTAATAAATTAGTAAATGCTGTGTAAGACTGTTAATTCGATGAGGTTAGTGGACAGGGTACATTTGTTTAAAATTAGTTCTCGATGCAGTCAGCATTGACATGCATATGGAAATTTATACCGGCTTGTGATAAAATATCGCGACTTCTATTAAAACGGAGCGAATGTAATGTACAACTACATAAGTATTCACTAAACAAAATATTTTCTGTGAAAAAGCAGTTGTGGAAGTTCAGTTTTTGTCACCTGAAGTTGTTATTTGTTCCAAGTGATTCTCTGAGCCAGAAATGAGGAACCTCCTGCATTGCAGTTTGTTCAAGCTGATGAGTGTACTCCGTTGAACTAGTACTTGCATGATTGAATTACGAACGGATCATAAGAATCTTTCACTATTTTATTTTCTTCTCAAATCCTATCATTATATAATTCCTACTCCATCCATTGTTAGGCACAAAACCAGTATGTGAACTTTAAATTTTAACTCATTTTGTTTCGAATTATTAATCGAAAAGTAGAGCAGAACCATTAACTCGCTAAAGATGGATGTGCACTCAATGAGAAATTAATCTGCAATTATATAATTTGCAGGATATTTACTTTTTTGCTACAAAGCATGGCTCTTTAACGTCCTCATTGATATTATGAAATAAAACTATGCAGAAAAAATAAAAACTCCTTATTGATACATAAAATACAGGTGACAACAAATCCGACGATAGCCTTATTTCTTGCGCACAAAACATGTGGACATAAACTACAAACCACGACTCCATATGCTTCCGCTAACTAATAAAATAAAAGAACTTTTAGGCAATTGATGTTTGGTCAGCCTGGACCTTTGTTTCTATGTAATCAGTCTGGAATACTTTTTTTAAGGTAAAATCTACAGCCATGTGGTAAATATACAACCCAGTTTCCTATTTTCTTCTCACACAGTGGTCTGATTTATCAATCTCGGAAGGGAGAAAAGGTAGCGACTCAACGGGGGATAAAATCCTGGTTCTCCAGGTTCTAAGTCCGACACCATACTGACTAAGCAACCTCGTTATATTATCACTTATTTAAATGCACGGTTGCTGCCATTTCGGTGGCTGAAAAACTGTCATAACTTTAAACTATAGACGTAAACTAGAGATGACTAATTACCGACAATGCTGTATCGTGTTAGTACGTGCAAAAAATCTGAGATCCACGTAAGCATCAATGTTCTTTTTATAAGCCCCAGCATTTTGGATGATAAAGATTTACAATACAGTGAAGAATCAGAAAAACGATTGCATATGAAATGTTGTGTAACACAAGATTTCAAATTTTACTAGGAACTTTTAGTGGGCAGTAGCCGGATTGTAAACTTGCCACACTCTTATTATATTATCGGTAAATCCAGCATAAAGCGTTTGTCCATCTGGAGACCAAGCTAAAGATATGCATTCCGCAGGCGCAGCTTTCGATTGCGTCACCTTCTCCAACTTTAGTTCATCAACGACTCGCTTATCTTCTAGATCCTAAAAATCAGGTACAGATTAAAATCGGCAAGGCTATATCATCAATGCATTTGCGCATGACTTAAGGAATACAGGGACATATGAAACTGGGAAAACCCTGAAATACATAAATGACAGGAACTTTAATCCACAAATCATATCTGTGGTTGCCAGATTTTTGATAGAAAATCTTTTAACATATTTACATAAAAATTCAAGCATTTAATAGCTGTTAATGAAGATTATTTTCAAAAATGTTATCGACCATTTTTCGATAGATTTCAATGTTTTCGATAGGTCGACCAATGGAAACGATCTGATTCAGGATCTAGTTCCTTAATTTGGTTTACGGAAAACGCTGAGTTTAAGCGCTAACTATTACAGGTCGTCATTAATAACATGAGAGCAATGAGGATTAGAGGCTTAACTCAATCAGACCTTTGTCACTCATGCAACAAATTCTGCATATAATAAAGTAGCACAAAAAAAATACCCAAATCTTTATGATTGGACCGACGGCAGCACAGAGCCAATAGCGATTAGGGCTGAAACATAAGGCGTTGATTATATTATTTCCATCCAACGTATAAAGATGTTTTCCTTCGTTCAGATCCCACAGCATTGCTTTCCCATCCTGCCATGAAAACGTAATCAATTAAAAAACAAGAAACTGGCAATAATCACAACCTTGCCACCAGATGCGCATAGAGAACCGTCAGGACTAACCGTTACCGCGTTAAGATAACCATTGTGGCCCATATGGTTAGTCTTAAGCTTGCAGTTGGCGAGATTCCATACCTGCAAGTATGAATAATTTAATTGAATATTTAAATTCAATGCATAAAGTAAAAGAAAATCTTGTACCTTCACCACTTTATCCCATCCGCATGAAACTATAATCGGGTTCTGATTACTTGGTGAAAAACGAACGCATGACACCCAATCAGTATGACAGTCCTCCTAAAAAATAACACAGAAATTAAACGTTAATGGTAATAGGCTTTCACTGTAAAATTGTCTCTAGCATAAACCCAACGCGTGACGAAGTTTCAGTATATATAATCCGAAATTCTGAACTTCGTAACATTGTATTAACTCGCTTTTCAGTTCTGCGATTTATGAAATATCGTTGAATAATATGATCAACGGTCGTAACATCCGTCCCTTTTCCCCTTAACCTTTCACCGGAAGTCGTATCTTCTGATACCCGACTAAGCAAAGAAGAGTCTCTCTCCGTCTCTAACGAGAGTCAGTTGGTCAAACGTCATCGAAAGTTCTCTAAGACCCATTCGTGAGCACACTTGGTTACCACTTATTCTGTCTGCAGGATCAAAAAGGACACCACATCAAAGACACCCATTTTCATGCTTGCATTTTTTGATAGAAACAATCCATTAACTCCTAACTTTCACTTCCTTCCCTTTCCTGAACCCCGTTTCTTTCAACCCGCATGAAAATGTCTTTCTATACCTAACGACGTTGTACTGGAACGACACTCGGGTCATTTTACTTTGCGGAAAAAGTAAATGAATTTCTTTTTTTGTGATTTGCATGGAGATGCTACGCCGCTTTCTGGAACATCCGTAACTTCATTCTCATAGAAGGAAGCCCTTTCGGATAGGAACTCACTGTTTTGGGCCATAAATATTTCTATTCAAAGGAAGCAGATTCGTTAATTTGTGTATTCAAGCGAAGAATGTGGGTGAGAAGATGTGCTAAATGGTTTTAAGAGCCTATGTTTCAGAATTTTCGACTTTTTATCAGTTTCTTCACCGATTTCCGTTTCCTCATAGGCACATTTCTACTGAATGGGAGAAAGTTCTCATGATAGTCCCATTTCTTAACTTTTAGGTAGTCGCGTGACAAAAAGTTACATGATCACTCGGGTTGAGTCATGTTTACAGATTATTTTGCCCTTAAGTATATTAATGACTTTTTTAAAATCCTCACAGCAACATACAGCTACTTAAGAGTCAACAGGAGGTTGCGTAATGGGTATGCAGTAAACCGTCAAGCACTGTCAGTGCGAGGTGTCTGTGACACCCGTATTAATTTTTCTGAACGTCAGAATTTTTTCTCTCTTCAACTCCACCATATTACGTATTTTAAAGTCAGGGGAAATCGAAAATCCGAAACAATCTCGGTTCCAAGCGTTTCGGATTAGAGATAATCAATTTGTAACAGTTCAAAAAAACGTTTCTGGCAGTGGGGCGGCCATAAACGTCGGCCGGAATGAATCGTGGGCAAGATGTGACGTTTGCAAAAGCCTATTTGAAGATAAAACCACTGAAGTGCCTGGCTTTCTACACTACGGTCACTCAACTGTCACTGGGTCACATACCTACTAGATATGGAAGACACGCAAAACTCTTCTTCATAAGTGAAAGATGGAGGAATCAAAACTTGTGAATGATGTGAGACGCAAAAGTGGAACATATCATACCACTGCTACATCTTCGCCCCACATGAAAAAACAGAGGTGATCCCCTGGACTACCCCATATGCAGTGAATACTTAACTGCCGTTGGAACCATAAAAGAATTCACTTGCTGCTCGGCGATAAGAAAAAATAACTTTTTTAAATTTCAAATAACAATACGACAACTTGCGTTGTTTTGATGGAATCGATATCAGTCAAGCGAATGTAATCCAATGCCCGATAAACAATAACAAGCCATAACATGATAGTCAAAACTTAAGTATTTTACTGAAAATAATCACTGATATAGAACAAAAATAAGTTGACTAATTAAGGACGCTTAATTATTGATTACCCTACAGCGTTAAATCGCATGTTTCTAGCAGGGCATACAAACAACTTAGGTTGTTCAGCGTTTTCATGAGATTCTCAGTTCATACAGTAGCCTGACGAAACTTGAGGCAAGGTCCAAGAGAGCAGGAAAACTGGCAAGAAATTACACATCTTGGCCAGTATCAACAATAGCTGACCGAACGCACGAGAGGGTAAGTATCATTTTTACGTTCTTGAACTTTTCCTCGCAGAAATGAAAGTGAGATAGAAAAATAGGCGAATCTGTATTCGCACAATGACAAATTAACGATCCTGCTACTTATCGCACATTAATTCACAGTGATTTCTGTTCCGGCCAGGGACGAAAGTCATCAAACCTTCCCATAACTTCTTGTACTAGGTTACTGGAGAAACACAGACATGGCAAGGTCGGTTTAACCGTAACGAGTCATTGCACAAGCTGTAGTGTAATGACACTGTTCCAAACAGTAGTCATACGTCTGACTGCGGTTATGAAAATAAATGACTGAAACAAAGATAAAAGGATAGGACAGGTAGGAGTGTAAGTAGCATTAATCCTGGAGACTAATAACAACACGCTAGACCATCAACTACTTGCAAAGATTATCATCTCGACAGCAATGCAAGATAACAATACATACCTCAAACCGCAAATCTTACCTGAATGGTGTATTTACAAACAGCTAACGTGTTCCAGAGTTTGATGGTTTTGTCACGTGACCCGGACACGATTTGGCGATTGTCTGCAGAAAACGCCACGCTCAGCACGTCTTTCGTGTGATCGGTGAATCTTCGTGTAGTGACGCCCCTAGACAAAAGCTCATACACACGGAGTCATAGGATGCAAGACATTCACCACAACCGTGGTCAAATTTCAGAACAGTAATTTAAAAGTGTCGAGTACTAAGCGACTGACTTATCGTCATAAAAAATGCATGCAATTTATGGCTTATAATGCACTTGCTTAATGAGCTGCATAAATAACGACCCCAGTAAGTTCATAAGGGTCTACTCTCGTTTTTACCAGCCGCAGTTAAAATATATTTTTATGTTTCAAACCAAATCATGGCTCAAACTCATTCTGTAAAAAGAATGGTTGTGCACTGCATAT